AGTGCGTTCTAATCGTAAACATATGCCCAGGTTCAAAGCAGGTGCTCGTGGTGATGACGTGCAGGTGTTTACTGCCAATGACGTGATGGCATTACGGTGGCATGACAAACGAGATGTCACATTGTTGACAACCATTCACCGTAATGAAATGCAAGACAGTGGCAAAGTTGATCGAGTGACTAATGAACGTATTCGAAAACCAGTGACAGTGATTGCTTATACACAAAACATGCGCTTGGTTGACAAATGTGACATGCAGATTGGGTTTTTGTTGACTGTGTTCGTAAGAGTTACAAGTGGTACATGAAACTTTTCTTCCATCTCATGGACATTTCAATGCTCAATGCATATAATATGTGCCAAATAAAGACTGGCAACAGACCACCATATGGTGAATTTTGTTTGTCTGTTGTCAGACAAATCATAATGAAGTACCAGGGAAAAAACACCTGCTACACAACAAGGTCCTCAAATTACTCAGGGTTTACCCAAGCGTTTGAGGAGGGAAGGTGATCATTTCATAATACAGCTTTCCTTCAAAATCAGAAGAAATTTGCTCAGAAAAGATGCATCGTCTGTGCACAAACAAAACGACGGCAACAAAGACGCAAAGACACTCGGTTTATGTGTGAGGAATGTAAGGGCCCTTTTTTCAAGGAGTTCCACAAGCTCCAACAGTTCTAAAACCAATCCATGATTGTAAATATATGATAGAACATTAGTATTATACAAGATTTGTGCATGTTTTTTGTAATAAACAAAAAGTGGTAAACAAAAATATGATAATAACTTTAGTGCAGTTATTGTGTTCAATACAGTGAGTTTATATATATACATTATATACAGTATTGGTCTCTCAGGCCCCAAATGTTAGTAGGAAAAGAAAAAAAAATTTGGGAAAAGAAAAGAAAAAACTATAAAAACCGCTAAATAATGTAATGCGCGTATGTGGAATTCGTCGATGTTGCCGCCACCACATCATTTTGGACAAACTTCTTGGCGCTGTATCTCGGTAAGTACTGATCAGAAATTTTTTTTTTGTCTTATTACCTTCACAAAAATATGCTCTTTAATTCTGTAAGAAAAAATAATTTTTTTTTTTTCAAAATTTCTTGGACACTGGAGCACCACTTCAGATTTTGGCCTTGGATCCTGAAGGGGTTAATGATGTGGTCTTAGGAATGGAACTCTGTCAAGTGAAGAGAGGCTGTTTTACAAATGTTAAAATAATTATAAAATGTACATGCGCTTACGAATAACATGTTTTTAATTACTATTATTATTATCCTTAGAAGTTGCATGGTTTTCAGTTATGCTACAGGTTTGTACAGGAGGGCCCCAATTTACAGTGCTTTGCTCTACAGCATTTTGCTAATACAGCAGTTTTCAGTAATACCTATTTTTCATTTATTCAGGCTTCTTACAATAAATATATTCATACACTAAGTATGAAAATATTTTAAGGTAAGAAATTGGATACTGTATATGTATTCATAAAGTTCACTTGCATCATACCAATATAAACTTAACATTAATTTTTCCATCAACCACTTCTGATATAGGCCTGTGGCCTGGTTTACCTGGAGTTTACCTGGAGAGAGTTTCGGGGGTCAACGCCCCCGCGGCACGGTCTGTGACCAGGCCTCCTGGTGGATCAGCGCCTGATCAACCAGGCTGTTGCTGCTGGCTGCACGCAAACCAACGTACGAGCCACAGCCCGGCTGATCAGGAACTGACTTTAGGTGCTTGTCCAGTGCCAGCTTGAAGACTGCCAGGGGTCTGTTGGTAATCCCCCTTATGTGTGCTGGGAGGCAGTTGAACAGTCTCGGGCCCCTGACACTTATTGTATGGTCTCTTAACGTGCTAGTGACACCCCTGCTTTTCATTGGGGGGATGGTGCATCGTCTGCCAAGTCTTTTGCTTTCGTAGTGAGTGATTTTCGTGTGCAAGTTCGGTACTAGTCCCTCTAGGATTTTCCAGGTGTATATAATCATGTATCTCCCTCCTGCGTTCCAGGGAATACAGGTTTAGAAACCTCAAGCGCTCCCAGTAATTGAGGTGTTTTATCTCCGTTATGCGCGCCGTGAAATTCTCTGTACATTTTCTAGGTCGGCAATTTCACCTGCCTTGAAAGGTGCTGTTAGAGTGCAGCAATATTCCAGCCTAGATAGAACAAGTGACCTGAAGAGTGTCATCATGGGCTTGGCCTCCCTAGTTTTGAAGGTTCTCATTATCCATCCTGTCATTTTTCTAGCAGATGCGATTGATACAATGTTATGGTCCTTGAAGGTGAGATCCTCCGACATAATCACTCCCAGGTCTTTGACGTTGGTGTTTCGCTCTATTTTGTGGCCAGAATTTGTTTTGTACTCTGATGAAGATTTAATTTCCTCATGTTTACCATATCTGAGTAATTGAAATTTCTCATCGTTGAACTTCATATTGTTTTCTGCAGCCCACTGAAAGATTTGGTTGATGTCCGCCTGGAGCCTTGCAGTGTCTGCAATGGAAGACACTGTCATGCAGATTCGGGTGTCATCTGCAAAGGAAGACACGGTGCTGTGGCTGACATCCTTGTCTATGTCGGATATGAGGATGAGGAACAAGATGGGAGCTAGTACTGTGCCTTGTGGAACAGAGCTTTTCACCGTAGCTGCCTCGGTAGGCAAAGCTCTCGCTTCACATGCTGAGGGTCCGTGATTCGATTCCCAGCAAGGGTGGAAATACTTACACCTGATGTCTATGTTCACCCATCAGTAAAATGGGTATCTGGGTGTTAGCTGATTGGTGTGGCTCACATCCTAGGTCAAAACTGATCTAATTTGCCTGAAATGTTCTGCATAACAAGGGGCTTTCTATATACGTAGTAGTAAGTCACTGATGTCAGCTAAGCCTGTATACCTTGTACATGTACTTGTAGTAAATAAAGATATTATTATTATGTTTATTTGGGTACAATTTACACAAGCACTTATGCAACTTTTGGGCTATTACAATTGTCATAAGTTGTAACATGTGTAAATTAACTAGAATAACCCAAAAAATTCAAAGCAACTTATTTCCATTGGGGTCCTTATCATATCTGGCTATTAGCAGCCTATTAGATACAGTAAAAATGTCATAGTTATAACAATAAAAATAAAGTAAACGGGCAGTTTACTACACATAAAATGGCTAAAAATATACCAAGGAAATCACACAAACATTAAATAGAGATCACCTTAATGTTCCTTTTCCTCAACTGGTATATGCTAAGATTGGCCTTGGACATGGTCAGGTAACTCATACTAATAAGAGATGGTGTGAGAGGCCTGACCACCTACTGTAGGTACTATGAAATTGTGCTTGCTTCCCTAATACCATACTGGATTTGGGTCCTAACCTTGGTAAAATTTGCTAATATTCGGACATGCTGAGTAGTTTTGTAGTTAATGACCATTACAGTGTTTTAAATTTTTCACTATAATGTCATGACTGCTGGTGTATTAATGACCACTACAGTGTCATGACTGCTAGTGTATTAATGACCACATAATGTCATGACTGCTAGTGTATTAATGACCACTACAGTGTCATGACTGCTAGTGTATTAATGCCCCACTACAGTGTCATGACTGCTAGTGTATTAATGCCCACTACAGTGTCATAAACTGCTAGTGTATTAATGACCACTACAGTGTCATGACTGCTAGTGTATTAATGACCACTACAGTGTCATGACTGCTAGTGTATTAATGACCACTACAGTGTCTGACTGCTGTGTATTAATGACCACTACAATGTCATGATTTGCTAGTGTATTAATGACCACTAAAATGTCATGACTGCTGGTGTATTAATGACCACTACAATGTCATGACTGCTAGTGTATTAATGACCACTACAGTGTCATGACTGCTAGTGTATTAATGACCACTACAATGTCATGACTGCTGGGTATTAATGACCACTACAATGTCATGACTGCTAGTGTATTAATGACCACTACGTGTCATGACTGCTAGTGTATTAATGACCACTACAATGCATGACGCTAGTGTATTAATGACCACTAGTGTCATGACTGCTAGTGTATTAATGGCCACTACAATGTCATGACTGCTGGTGTATTAATGACCACTAGTGTCATGACTGCTAGTGTATTAATGGCCACTACAATGTCATGACTGCTATTGTATTAATGACCACTAGTGTCATGACTGCTAGTGTATTAAGGGCCACTACAGTGTCATGACTGCAAAGTGTATTAATAAACCACTATAATGTCATGACGCTAGTGTATTAAGGCCACTACAGTGTCATGACTGCTAGTGTTTTAAATGACCACTACAGTGTCATGACTGCTAGTGTATTAATGACCACTACAGTGTCATGACTGCTAGTGAAATTAATGACCACTACAGTGTTATGACTGCTAGTGTATTAATGACCACTACAATGTCTGACTGCTAGTGTATTAATGACCACTAGTGTCATGATTTGCTGTGTATTAATGGCCACTACAGTGTCATGACTGCTAGTGTTTTAAATTTGACCACCACAGTGTCATGACTGCAGTGTATTAATGACCACTACAGTGTCATGACTGCTAGTGTATTAATGACCACTACAGTGTCATGACTGCTAGTGTATTAATGACCACTACAATGTTATGACTGCTAGTGTATTAATGACCAATACAATGTTATGGCTGCTAGTGTATTAATGACCACTACAGTGTAATAACCACTACTAATTAACTAGCGTAGTTAAGGACCACAACAGTGTAGCTGGTGACCACTGAGTGTAGTTAATGATTAGCGTACCTATTATTGTGATCTGATTCTATCTTTAATGTTAATGTAAATAACTCCATTTACATTATTCCCAATGGAAAGTCACTTACTTTTTTGGGTTACCTTAGGTAATCTACATATACTGTTATGTATTATAATTTATGTAAATAAACCTGAATAAACTTACTGACTACACTAGTTAATAACCACAAGTGTTGTACCTACCTCTCCACAACACAGCGATACAGCTGCTCAATTATACTATGTATGATAATCTTTGTAACTGTATTTGTGTATACCTAAATAAACTTACACTACAGATAAATGATCTACGTCTTCTACAGCCGTCAGTTGTCAGGGTCTGAGCTACTAGCTAATCAGCGCCCACGTTACATTTCTAGTCTCGCCATTGGCCAATGACAAGCGTTGTTGCTAGTGACCTGGGAGGCACACCACAACGACCTTCTATATAAATGTTTACAATGTTTATTTAACTATGTGAAGCATTATATTACCAGTAACATCAAATAAATTACACTATTAATGTCAATAAATGATTTAATTCCATGGCGTGTTATATGTACAACTTATGATTTGAATTAAGTTAATTTTTTATATAGTAGATCGGCAAGCCAGGGGAAGGTCTATGTCACATGACTAAGACCACATGATTAAGACCACATGACTAAGATCACATGACTAAGACCACATGACTAAGACCACATGACTAAGACCACATGACTAAGATCACATGACTAAGACCACATGACTAAGACCACATGACTAAGATCACAATGACTAAGATTTACATGACTAAGACCACATGACTAAGACTACATGACTAAGACCACATGACTAAGATCACATGACTAAGACTACATGACTAAGACCACATGACTAAGACCACATGACTAAGACCACATGACAAAAAACCACATGACTAAGACCACATGACTAAGACCACATACTAAGACCACATGACTAAAACCACATGACTTAGACCACATGACTAAGACCACATGACTAAGACTACATGACTAAGACCACATGACTAAGACCACATGACTAAGACCACATGACTAAGACCACATGACTAAGATCACATGCCCTAAGACCCCCATGACTAAGACCACATGCCTAAGACACATGACTAAGACCACATGACTAAGACTCATACTAAGACCACAGACTAAGACTACTGACAAGAACATGACTAAGATCACATGACTAAGACTACATGACTAAGGACCACATGACTAAGACCACATGACTAAAACCACATGACTAGATCACATGACTAAGACCACATGACAAGACCACATGACTAAGAACCACATGACTAAAACCACATGACTTAGACCACATGACTAAGACCACATGACTAAGACCACATGACTAAGACTACATGACTAAGATCACATGACTAAAAACCACATGACTAAGACCACATGACAAAGCACATGACTAAGACCACATGACTAAGATCACATGACTAAGACTACATGACTAAGACCACATGACTAAGATCACATGACTAAGCCCAAACATGACAAGACCACATGACTAAGACCACATGACTAAGACTACACGACTAAGACCACATGACTAAGACCACATGACTAAGACCACATGACTAAGATCAAAATGACTAAGACCACATAAACAAAGACCACATGACTAAGACCACATGACTAAGACCACATGACTAAGACCACATGACTAAGACCACATGACTAAGATCACTGACTAAGACCACATGGACTAAGATCACATGACTAAATCATATGACTAAGACCACATGACTAAGACCACATGACTAAGACCACATGACTAAGACCACATGACTAAGATCACATGACTAAGACCACATGACTAAGACCACATGACTAAGACCACATGACTAAGATCACATGACTAAGATCACATGACTAAGACCACATGACTAAGACCACAATGACTAAGATCACATGACTAAGATCACATGACTAAGATCACATGACTAAGATCACATGACTAAGATCACATGACTAAGATCACATGACTAAGATCACATGACTAAGACCACATAAGAACATAAGAACATAAGAAAGGAGGAACACTGCGGGAGGCCTGCTGGCCCATACTAGGCAGGTCCTTTACAATTCATCCCACTAACAAAACATTTGCCCAACCCAAATTTTCAATGCCACCCAAGAAATAAGCTCTGATGTGAAAGTCCCACTCAAATCCAACCCCTCCCACTCATGTACTTATCCAACCTAGATTTGAAACTACCCAAAGTCCCAGCCTCAATAACCCAACTAGGTAGACTGTTCCACTCATCAACTACCCTATTTCCAAACCAATACTTTCCTATGTCCTTTCTAAATCTAAACTTATCTAATTTAAATCCATTACTGCGGGTTCTCTCTTGGAGAGACATCCTCAAGACCTTATTAATATCCCCTTTATTAATACCTATCTTCCACTTATACACTTCGATCAGGTCTCCCCTCATTCTTCGTCTAACAAGTGAATGTAACTTAAGAGTCACATGACTAAGATCACATGACTAAGACCACATGACTAAGATCACATGACTAAGACCACATGACTAAGACCACATGACTAAGACCACATGACTAAGACTACATGACTAAGACCACATGACTAAGACCACATGACTAAGACCACATGACTAAGATCACATGACTAAGACCACATAACTAAGACTACATGACTAAAACCACATGACTTAGACCACATGACTAAGACCACATGACTAAGACCACATGACTAAGACCACATGACTAAGATCACATGACTAAGACCACATGACTAAGACCACATGACTAAGATCACATGACTAAGACCACATGACTAAGACCACATGACTAAGATCACATGACTAAGACCACATGACTAAGATTACATGACTAAGACCACATGACTAAGACCACATGACTAAGATCACATGACTAAGACCACATGACTAAGACCACATGACTAATACCACATGACTAAGATCACATGACTAAGACCACATGACTAAGACCACATGACTAAGATCACATGACTAAGATCACATGACTAAGATCACATGACTAAGATTACATGACTAAGACCACATGACTAAGATCACATGACTAAGACCACATGACTAAGATCACATGACTAAGACCACATGACTAAGATCACATGACTAAGACCACATGACTAAGACCAAACAACCAAGATCACATGACCAAGGCCCATGTGATAGGACATTTAACATTTTTTTTTGCTTGATATCTTCATCCTTTCCAATAACTGTGACCTTAAAAATTATTATGCATGAAAGTCCAAATAAAAATCTTATCTTAACCGAGACTAACCCAATCAAGTCCAACATTTTTTTTTCTTGATAAGAAGAGACGATCTGCACTTATTTCAAAAAAAGCCAATTTGATTAATAAAACTGGGATATTAAAAATTTACACAGTCTGAAATCACGACAAAACTTCCTTTTAAGGAAAACACATCAGCACTAAAAGTTTAAAGTCGACCAGAAGAAGCATTCTCCAGTTGTGGAAAATATATAGTATATTTTCCGAAAATAGTGTATTGGTATGTAAATTAATAAAATATATTGCATTTAATAAAATTATGTTATAAAAAATGGGAAGCCTGCGCCTGTGCAGAGGGACTCGCCATTTGTGTTTTGAATGAACCAAGAAAACATTAGCGAATGGGAAGAATTTTTCGTGCTCTAGAGGTTAAAATTGGGCTGACACCTTTCAAACAGGAGCCGAAATTGTTGGATGTGTATTCCTGCATAACTTGAGATATCAGGCGACTGGACAAGACAGCTCCAGGAACCTCAGATAAGCCTGTGATGTTTTAACTCTGGCCAGTGTTATTTTCATGTATAGACAGTGAGGTTTTCTGAGTATGATCTCCAGTTAAATTGGTGAGTGAGTTTAAGATATTCTCCTTCTGTTATGTATATGTGTATATGTATAATCCTTTATTAATTTAATATACAGTCCATAAACTTATATATTTACCAGAATTCTTGTTGATGCATCTTTTATTTATAATTAATAGGTCTAGAGCAACTTGTGGATAAGAAAGTTGTAGGTATCGAAGGGGGACATTTTTGCGACCTAGGTGCCCCAAATTCCTACTTGTCTATGTAACTGATAAATAATAATTATCTTTGTTATCATTTACTGTTATGTACATAATAAGCTACATACAGATAACTGCAATTTTCCACATTTAATTTGCCCGTTGGTCCTTCTTGAACCGGAGGTAATTAGTGAAGTCATTAATTAGTTAATTACTTAATAATTATATGTGAAATGACAGAAGGAGGTGGATGTTAAGTTCACAAATTTACTTAATGTGTAGTGGATTATAATTATTACAAAATTAATTTGATAAGACAATTCTGGCCAAGATTTATATCAGTGTATGTGTAATTGATAAGCCCAAGTGTAGCTAATTATATTAATGTGTATAATATTAATTTTGCTATGCCAAATTCTGGCAAGGATTTATATTAATTTGCATAATATTAATTTTGATGAGCCAAGTTTGGCTAAAGGTTTGTATTAATGTACATTTAAAATTTATATTATAATTTTCTTACATGTGTAATTACTAAGTTCAAGTGTGGCTAACATTATTAATGTGTATTTAAAATTTATATTACAATTTTCTTACATGTAATTGCAAAGCTTAAGTGTAGCTATAATTTATTCAAAGGTAAGTTGTATCAGTGTTGTAAGTTGTAATCAGTGTTATGAATTGAGTTGAATTTAATACATTGCATCATGGCTGGAAATGAGGAAATTAATATAGAAGACAAACATATGGAATATAGAGCAAAGAAAGCATCACTGCAAGCTAGAAAGGGTCATGTAACCAAGGCATATAATAAATGTTTGGAATTAATGAATCAAGAAACTGTGAATCTGATGATTTTAAAAATTTTATTTTTGATGCTGTAGGAATAGATATGATTCATAAATTTTTATTACAACAAAAAATGAAGGAGATTTGTTAGTAAACTGTGTAGATGAGACTGAAGTAGATCTCATGATTAATCAGCATTATGAATTAGAAGAAAAGATTCTTTCTTGTAAAAGTCAGGCTTTGGGAAAAAATTAAAATGTTAAAACAGGCAGTTAATCAGCTGCTCCAACAAATAATAGTCTTTGGCCAAAACTCCCAGAATTATTTTTTACCTGTATTTAATCCTGGAGAAAATTGGGAGGAATTTTGGTCAATTTTTAAAGCAGCTGTGCACGACAGGAGTGACCTAGCCTGTAACTAATTATTTTACCTAAAGGACAGGTAAAAGAGGGAGATGATCACTACTCATACAAGCTTTCCCATGGCAGATGACTCTTACAAGGAAG